ACCTCGTGAAGCCAGTCACTAGTGAGCATTTGTTGATTCATATCTGACGGAATCTTGTGGATATTATAGTAATTTAAATGGTTGAGATCATGAATCATTTGAAGCCAGACCAACATTGAAAATCTGGAAGCATTGGATGGTCGTTTTGTCCTATTGTGGGTTTTCTATGGTGGTCTATTTTCCATCGACTCATAGTCTCAACTATTAAAAAAATCACTATAGTATCAATAAAACCCCTTCTCATACATATTATTTTATCAATGACTTTCAAATTAATCTATTTAGAAACTGAACAGAGTCATAAAGAGTTAAAATAAAAAAATGAAAATAAACAAATTAACATTATGACTTTATATTTTATTCCATCGAAATTTACTAAATTGATCAAAATAAATTGAGTTAAGATGGTAAATGTAAAATGTTTGCTGATAAACTATTTCATAGACGATATGTTTCCCTTTATTATTCACTTTCTAATATTAAGAAAACTTGTTTTCATTGTCTAATTTAATTCGAAAATTGATTTCAATGTCATTCATATAGAGAGAAATTAGTCATTCATTGTTCAAGAAATATCTAATTAATCAATGTCGAATAAGTAATGGGAGAAAAAAGCTCAGCGAAATAACAGAAAAGAACTTATAAATGTTCATATTTATTTATTTGTTTTGTTAAAGTGGAATTCCCCCCCCTAAAAATGAAATTTTTTACCACTTCTTTTTTTTCAATTTTTCGATGATTTTGTTTAAATTAGAGAACAAAAAAAATTGTACTCAGATTACTTTTCTAAATATAGTTATCAATCTTCATTTTGATTTAGTTTTTCTTTCTATAAACTATTTATATGAATATACTTTACCAAGAAATAGTTCTGTAAATGTTTCATCATGTAAAATAGCCACTTTATTTAACCTGCTGGGCTTCAGTCATATAAATTATTAGTAATGTAAGCTATTTATTATGCTTGAATACTTGTTTTACAGAAGATTAATAGTGCGTTATCTTCTTACTAATTAGTTCTTTCATATCAAATGATTGAATAATCATTATAGATTAATAACATTCTTTTCTTGACTAATACATTTTGAAATAGTTAACAATTCATTTGACAACTAGTTCGTTAGTAACAAGTTGAAATACTTAGAAAATAATAGTAGTCTATTACTTGTATGTGTCTACGTTTCTCCGTTATTAATATTTAAAATTAAGTATTTAATATCTAGTTTTTTTTTCTAATTTTATTTTAAAATGTCAATGAAATGTACGTGATTATTTTTTTATTTTTAAGAATATGGATAGGAAAATTAAAAATTTTCACTTTTTTTTTTCAAAATTTATGATAAATATATATTTGAATATTTATGGTTAACACAAACAAACGAACAAATTTCAATATTGGAGTACATGCAAGTGTATAATTAATCACTTTACTTTAATAAATAGATTTATTATTAATTATTTTTAGTTTTCTAAATTAAAATCACTAATGAAGCAATAGATTACAGTAATATTGTAGTGTATGTTACTTTTGTCAACAGATATAAGTAGTATGTAATATCAGTCAGAAGTGGAATATAAACAGAGATGAAAGAACGACAAAGTTTGTAAGAGACAATTGATGAAAGTTGTGCAAATGAAGTATTTAATATATGGTTTTCATATTTCTGGAAGACATTCTACAATATCGTAATTCAGTGGTTGAGATCATGAGTCATTTGAAGCCAGACTACAATGGAAAACCTAAAAGCATTGGATGACCTTTTCGTTATATTGTGAGTATCAGCAGAAGTGCGCATCCACGATCCTACCTCGCAAGATTCCAACCCAGGACCTATCAGTCTTGCGCGCGAACGCTTAACCTCTAGACCACTGAACCGGCCCACATCCAATGGTGTTAATGTCTAAATCCAACTAATTCACGAAATTGAGCGACACATCCACTATTGTCATCAGTGAGTTACTAACTCACAACAGACCTGGTTGGACAAAACCCCTACTAATGTTAATATCGTATTTAACCATAAATCGGTCTTTCCTATATGAGTGTTTGTTCATTATTTCATACGATTATATAGGATAAACTTTTCCCTATACATGTTGCTCACTTTTAAAATGTACACTCAAATGCCCATAAGCCATACCACCAGTTCATTGTGTTACAAGATTACTAAATTAAGCTTGAATTAGCATTGTCATTTTTTTGTAATTTTGTTTAAACTCCGTAAAAGTAAAATCAAAGGTCTCAGTGTTTCCTAAGTTGGTATTGATTAATGACAGTAATCATGTTCAAACTAAATAAATTTCTATATATCTCTGAATCAGGCAAAAACTTGAAGCATTTAAATCCTTTATTAGTAATTTCTATTGAACTTCTACTGCTTCGGACACCTAAATCTTATGAAATAAATGATGCAAAAATGTTTGTTGAGTTGTTTTTATAGAAATTCTACACACTATAAAGACTATTTCCAACATAAAGTGATATCCCCTAAGAAATTACGAAAGATTGAACACAGATGAAATGGTATTTGGTTATAGTTTTAAACCTTTGAATATTACACCCATATTTACTTAATAGATAGAATATAAGATCTAAAGTTTGTCTGATAAAATGTTTTTAATTCAGTGAGTTATAATATTCTATAACATTGTCTGATGTGGTTAACTCTACTGATAACGACTTCCTATTTTAACTTCAGGAAACACCTCTTGAAACTAATCAATAAACACTTTATTATTCATATATGTATATGTATAAATGTAAGAAAATTTCAACCTTGAACTGTCTAAATGATTCTCCATTTCAAACAGTTTATCAATGATCCTCATTTCAGAGAATCATAAATTACTTTTTTTCTTTTAATTTGATTATTTCTTTACAATTTTAATGATAATTTCAAACCAACTTAACAAGTGGGTGTTTAGAAAAATATACTTTTTTTCTTACTTTAAAGAAAAATATTCAGTATTTTCATTGCATAAATAGGAATTGAAGCGAAAACAGTTTTTTTTTCTTTATAATTTCAACGAGAGATTTTCTTCTCTTTTGATTGCTTCATCTCTCTGTGTTATAGAAACTAACTAGAAAAAAAAATAAAATGAAATTTTTATCTTTTGTACGAGAAGAAAATTATTTAAATTGTATTAGAAAATATTTTCTTTTTATCAATGGCTCAAATGAAATCAATCAATTTAGCATACCTGTATAAGTGAGTGTTTGTGTGTATATAGCTAAGTGAACAGGACCTATAAAAATAATATTATGCTTAATACCAGTCCACTACATATATATAGACATATTTATAGAAGTTTATATATAATCTTGACTTCTTGATTAAGGTGGAAATTTACGCAGTAATAGAGTTTTACTTCAGCTTGTTGAAGCTGATATTGTTTGCATATATATATACTTTGGTTTGGTGTATATTTACCTACGTGAATATATATATATATATATATATATATATAAATATATATGTATATATAAATATATATATATATATATAAATGTATATATATATATATATATATATATATATATATATATATATATATCAATGTATGTCTGTATAGTAGATATGCTTAATTATTATATCAGTTGATGTTTGTATTAAAATGAATGAAAAAAATTCAATAAAATTAAATCCTGTCCAGATTGAACTCAAGTGAAAAAAAGAAAATCGTGAAAGTTTTGTATTAAGGAATTAAAACAATTTTGATTTGAAATGGATGCATAAACAAACTATATAGGTTTTTTGTTTTAAATATTGTATCTGTGTATGTCAATTTTTTATTTTAATTTATTGACAAAATCTAGAAATAAAAAAAAATGGATTCTTCCTAATTTATCCTTACTACTCTAACTAGAATTTTGTGTTTATGTGTTTGGTTTGTTTTGTTTTGCTTTTTTCACTGATAAATCAGATATTTTTGATTTAATTGTCAGAAGAAAAATTTGTTTAAAAAAAGAATAAAAACTGAGTTTATGAATAAAATATATTGGTATTCCACGAATGACTTATTATGTAATCTCTTGATATTGCTCCATTATTAAGCTTAGTCTGTATAAAGCAATGATTACTTATTAATGCTTATGAATTAACATTACTAGGGAAACCTATAAAGAAGTTCATTATGGATATAAACATTTTTCATAAATGATCTTAGTTAACCATACCATATTGGTTTATTGTGAAGAATATAATTACACAATTTTACATAACATAATACATGTATCAGTCGACGTAAAGCATGAAAAACTTGAGCATTTACTTGAAAGTTGGTTAGGTCAAATTTAACAAAGAGAAAACAATTTGTAACTCAATCCGTGGAAAACATATAAAATGATTTCAGAGTTTCAAGTGAAAATTGCAATAATACTAAAAACTATTTTTCACATTTAGATATTTAAACTTGTTTAAATGTAGAAATGAATTTGACTTAAGAGCTTGAGTCTCTCTACTACCGGTAATGAGTACTGTATCTAAGCAATTTATATCAGTATATGTTCATCTTTGCCAAATTGGTTTGGTATTGCTTCTAAGAAGGAGTTTTATTTAAGTTGAATTGTGGCTAACAATGAAATCTATAGTAAGATATTCGTCCTAATTAGAACTCAGAAGCTGAGGTAGTTTTATTTTGAATGATATCTTCGTCACAACTTGGCAATAGTTGGATAATTACTGAGAATTATTAAACACTAAACATTTTTTTCAACTTGATTTGAATAGTTTTATAGAATTGTACATTCCCTATGATAGACAAAATTAATATTATCTTTCACAGCTTTTAATTTAAAAATGAAATCATTTTACCATAAGTATAAACTAGGGAAAACTTAAAAACCAAAATACAAACCATTTTCAATCAAATTACTTATTTAGTCAGTAATGAATTGATATTAAAATGAAAACGTATTTTCTGATTAGTTAACTAACAATATATCATTATTCAAATGTTAATTATATATTTATTTCTTTGTTTTTCTTCTTCGTCTACAGACAGTCGTTCCATGTCTTATTTATAAATGTTATCTGGATAACTTCAGACTGTGAGTTATCAAAAAAGCATATGATAAACGTTCTCATTTTATGTATCTTTATGTATTGATTTATGATTTCATTTATCCTATTTTTCAATTTTTTATATACTATAAATAAGACCTGTGGTAAAACATCATAAATTACATAAAATTTAAAGGAGAATTTATTTATGTATGAATTAATGTTTATTACTTTTTACAAATCCTAAAAGAATGTTTTGATGACTATAGAATGTAACATTTATTTATACAATTATATTTCTTTTCTGTTTTGTTGTATATTTTGTGGTTCCAATTGATTACTTAAATAAAGAAGAAACCGTTTTCAAAATCCGTCATTCATCGGTAATCAATACTGTCAAATATTTGGCAGGAATATGTGTTGAAATCTTGTGTTATTGTGAATTATTATATCCTAGTTTAAAAAGTAGTATATTGCTTGTTATTTTTGGATACTAGTTAGTATGTTGAGTAGTAATGATTCGATTCTTTGTATATAGAAAATAACCTTCAAGGTATAATTATTTTTAGGTTTCTGAAGATAGTTGTCAGGAAAACGTAGACTTAGTCTTCGAGTTTATTGGCATTTGCCATGAAGGCGCATTCGATTGCTTGAGAAAAATAGTGTTTTCCGAGGTACTCTCCGATAAGTTTGTTAAGCAGACACTCTTGAATATAACAAAGGGCAGATTCTGGTTAACAATAAATTGTATTCCGATTTCTCACCAATAATTTAATAGAATTTTTTACTGAATCTACCCGTGTTAAATACATCAAAACAGTATTCTACAATTAATACTCCTTGTTCTCATCGTACTTTAGAAGTCACGTATAAATCGCCCTTAGGATAATATTTGCTTAACATGAGTCAATGAAAACTAAAGAATGATAAATAAAGAATATCAACAGTAAAAACGAGTATTATAGGAATGATTAGCATTTCATCAACACATTCAGAAAATATCGTCGATGAACAAATTCGTCTAAAACGAAATAGAAAAAAAGACGTAAATCTGACTATTTCACTATTATACTTACAAAACAGTATTGTCTTCAAACAGACACATACTTCCATCAAAATTTTTACATAGGACATAAAATCAAACAATAATTGTCTTACAACAACAACAACAACACAATTGAATAAATTTTTACAACACATTTAAAATAATTAATTTCATTATGTTCTAATCTGCATATGTAAACTATACTGGTCTGATTATTCATTGTGTACGATTACGTCATGAAAATTAATTAGATTATGTTTAGTTATTATTTTCTGCCCCCTCCGTTTACTTTGAACAAGTCTTCATACTAATCAATATTCCTGGGGTTTTTATGATGTAACAAATTTGTTATTATAATGAACAAAAAAAATTAGGTTGGAAACAATTAGACATTGTTTTTTTAAATCTAATTTATATTTAGAAAAGTAAGTTGAATCGAAATAGTTATTTTATTTTTCCTTTTGTAATTGGAAATAATGATAATGTTAATTATGAGAAATTGTCTCCTGCTGGACTATAAAACAGTATGATAATATTTAGTTAAGTTTTCTATATAGATTTCTACATGAACTGATACTGTTTGTAAAGTTAATGAGAAACATAAAGAACCGAATAGTCGGGTTCCTAATATGTTAAATATTGCTCAAATTTAAAGTATCTGGGAAAATAAATAAATGTGAAACGAAATGGAAAGCTAAATCTCTTAAAATTGCTACTTATTATATTACGATATCAGTAGTAAATCACCCCGGAAATTTAAAAAATGGTAATTTTTGTCAAAAAATTTTTTATCTGAAGATAAACAAATATCATAATTACAGAAGTAAATTCACTATTTAATGTAGATTAATTAATATCACTTCAGTAAATAGAATGTCGAATTCTATCAATCTAGCAATCATATGAAAATTCTAACTAAGAATATCCGATTAGTAGAGAAACGTAAACAAATGAAAATGGATCGAATTCTATCGGATTCGTTCAACGTTATCTAAATAGTTTGATTGATAATTAGATTTAAATAATCTTATCAATGTGTCATTGTGTAAACTTCACAGTTCATTAAGACATAGTTATCAAAATTACTGTTGATTGATATTACTTCATTCAGGTAAAGTGTTTCAGTGTTATTATAACCGGCAGTTTATTTTGAAATTAATTTTGACAAGCGGAAAATATCACTTACTTATGGTATGCTTAATACTGAGTTACATTATGTGGTGCATTAATTTCTAATAAGTCATTTGTGAAAGTTAATTTAAAAAAACCAATCTATTGTTTAGAAAAATCATTAATATAATGTTTATAAATTTAGTATCAGAAGGGGTTTTGTGGATAGTATGGTAATTTCAATAGTTGAGATCATGAACCTTGAATCTCGCGAGGCAGGGAGGAGTTCCACAATAGGATGAAACGGCAGTCCAGTGCTTCCAGGTTTTCCATGGTGGTCTAACTTCAACTCATGATCTTAACTATTGAAGTTTAAAAATTTGTGGACAAATTTTGCTAATATTTGTCATTTTTAATATTTAGATTAGTTTTTTGTCAGATTTTGCTAATATAAAAGAAGGGTTTCATATTCAAGTTATCATAACTAATTTTTAGTGACTACTTAACAGACAAATATATCAGCTAAATGATTTGTTCAATAGTTTGGTTATGTCTATGTCTAAAGCATCAACATTTCCATCACTCATATCGATTCATCATAAGTATGACACGCATAATGACCATAAATTTAAATAATCACGTTTTATTACACTCAGTCAAATAAAAATATGAAATTATTGAATAAATAAAATTAACTTAAAATTCACTATAATAATTTACTTAACTGATAATTAAGATACTGCTGACGGCAGTATTATTGACGATAACGGCGACGACGACAGTGGTGGCAATAAAAACATATTTGTTTTGTTTAAAAAATTATATCAAATTTCTTGACAGATCTGTCATGTTCAATCCAACTCGAATTTCTTATTTATAAAATTATTTATTATCTTTGACATTCTCATCATATTTCATTCAAATAAACAAATACTGTAAGAAATGTATATTTATTTATTAATATTACTCAATCGTTGTATGTAATAAGTACGTTTGTCTAATTGAATTAATCATAGTAATATTGGTGAGCAATAATAGTTATTAAGAGAAAATTCGAAAATATTGTTATTCCCATTTCATGTTCATATTCACGTAAAGCTTAAATTCTTCGAGATTAATAAACAGTATACTTATAGTTGGCTGCAATAATATTCAACAGAAATATTGGGTGATGCAATGAATGATGCGAGGTAATACAAGATACGCAGGTAGCTACTCAACTTTTTGATTGAGGACCTGAGAATGGATGAACTTATTTCTTCAGTTCCCGATTGTTTAACAGATACATTAGCTAGGTTAGCAGAATCATTGTTACCGGTCACAAAAGAAAATTATAGTATTTAGTATTGATTATGATCACTTACTGTAGTCTGTAATGTGAATAGCACTCTTATAATTTTAAACACAGATTATCATTTGCTTCCATTTGTAAACCAGTCATATCATTTCATTGAAAAGAATCTTATGCGATAATGATAACAATTTTTGGTTTATTTCACCAGTTAGGGAATCCTTCCATTTATGTCTAGTGTTAGAAGAAACATCAGTGAACGCTGGAGGTTGCTGGTTACATTGTCATTTTAATCTAGTTTGTAAGCTCATAATGTTACGTATTTTTGATGCGAAAATAAATTTAGTATTTGAGTTTCTAGTTTAAAAATTAAAATAGTTCCACACAATAACCTTATCTGAATTTAAAAGTTCAACATTTCAAACATAATATTGATAACGAGACGGAGATCCTAGTTCATTTTATAGTGTACACGTCCACTTTATACTTAACTAAGCTCCTTTCAATGAATGACACTAAACAAGTAGTAAATTAATCCTCAAATTGAATTAAACGAAAAAAGCTTATTATCATACATTTTTGAAGTTGACAGATATGACACAAAGGAACCATTTGTCAACAATCAAAATATATATTGAGCAGTTAGACCAAGCATTAATTAAAATAATATTCAATTAAGTTGATATCACTAACCAGACAGTAAGTAAATAGTCAAAAATAAGGATTCAATTTACAAATCAACCATAAATCCTTTCTTATTTGCTTACGTCTGTTCCCCCTCGTGATGGAGCATAGGCCGCCTACAAGCGTTCTCTACTGAACTCTGTACTAGACAATCCTCTCCAGTTTTTTCTAGTTTCTATTCATCCTTTTAATGCCTGCTTCTAATTTTCGGCACAGCGTGTTCTTTGGCCTTTCCCTTCTCCGTTTTACTTCAGGATTCCAAGTTAGCACTTGTTTCGAGATGCAGTTTAATTTCCACAGTGTATGTGGTAAATCCAAATATCCTTAGTATTTACACATCGAACCGAAAACAAAGTAACTAACTGACAAGGATTTTGTTGATTAAATTAGATCGGTTTATAGATCCACTATATTAACTGAACATAGTTTATTAGACGACATGATTTTATCCTGAACTGCTTATTAATTCTCAGATCAAATTTTAAAAAAAAACAGTTCATGATCAATCCGAGCATAATGATTTCACTCGGATTTTAGAAAATCATTTTCTATTTTAAAATTCACATGCATACTACACATCAGTTTTTGTGAATTGAATAATAACAATTTTCATTTTAATTATGCTTTCCTTGATGATTCATAAAACGTATTCCTGTGTAATATACTAAACAATTACAATACATACATACACACACACAAACATTGAGTTGTATAGAACTAGACACAAGCTGAATATTTTGGGTGGTCAACTTGAATATAAGTTCGAATTATACCAAACAACATAGCATATTTTCTCTATATCTCACAGGGAATAAGCCAGAGTTTTTTCTATATGTATGTTCATTCATCGTTCTATTGTTTTTTTTCTCTCTATATTTTAAGTTGAAATTTCAATTCCATCTGTCGTGCTCTGTCCT